CGAAAAAATATTCCTAACCGAGATTAGATTGGTCCATCACATTTATTTGTCATCAATAACGCTGTTAAAATAGTGTGTCCTGCTACATTTAAAGCTTTTCGATTCTTTATACATCAATGAAATTGTTAATTACCGATTAGGAAATAAAGTTAAATTATTCATACCAAGAGAGGAGAATAATGAAAGTGGAAAAATGTATCATATATTTTCGGTTCATCACCGTGCTGTTTTTACATCACTATACAACCATTATTAACAGTACACTTTAATACGTTTCATTTGATAATTAGCGTCTATTTATTAAAATTTAATACTGTAACATACTACAAATTAACGAATAAATTTTTTATACATATAAAAAGTTATAATGAATAACACGTATAAGTTATACATAGTAATTATTGCTATACCCTATTATTTATATTATATCATAGAATAAAATAATAATATTTTTTTTTTAAAAAAAATATTTATATTGATATGTATATAATGTTAAAATATTTTTATAAAATATTCCCTATAGGATCACACTGGTTCTGTTTGACCGATAATTTCATATATTAGTTTAGAAGATAATCAAATATCAACTTGTACATAACTATAATCTGAATAATTTAATAGCAAGATAAAATAATAAAAAATCGACGTAACCGCTTATTGCGTTATATCAGTATGAGCCAATAATAATACATGTTGAATTGAGCCTGAGATAAACATTATTACTATTTTGGAGTGACTAATCCGACTGCTGCCCTCTATAAAAAATTTTCTGAAAAAAAACTCCGATGAATAATGTTAGAAAAAGAAAAATCAAAAAATCAAGCTAAAATGCAAAGAAAATATTTCATTATGAAACTTATTTTATTCCCTATTTTTTTTTGTAAAAAAAACAGATGTCAAATTATTAAATTTGCGGTTGATTTTCAACTTAATTAACCCTCATATCAAATAATTCGATAGATTTTTTTGTGCCAAAATGATATCCCAGAATAATAAAATATATATATTAATGAGATTATTATTCTACGAAAAGTATTTCACCGATTAAAAAAAATAATGATATCACGACAAAAGAAACAAACGAATTATGAAGAAGACAATTGGGATGATATAGAAATTCCTGAAACTGGATTACTTTTGCATGACAATCATATCTTAAAATGAAAAATTATGAAAATTGTGAAAAATTGTTCGTTTTTATGGATTAATTAGTGCATTTTTATGGGTTAGATTTTGCATTTGATCTAACCATAAGTCCAAATTTGGATGAAAAAGTCTCAGATAATTATATATATATGTTAACAAGAAATTGACTTATTAGCAGGGGAGCTGCCATTCAATTTATTCATTGTGTTATAACTTATAAGTAAGATAATAAGAACCATTTAAAGGAGGACTAAATAGTAAAGCTTTATTTACTAATAAATTCACGTAAAATTTTCGTGATTAGGTATTTTAAACATCAATAAGATAATTTTGCAATCTAGTCCTATTCTCCTCCTGTAATCTTCCATATTCTTTGATTACATTTTTATCCACCTTAATGGTATTAAAGTCAAAGTATGAGTAAATATTTTTTTTTTATTTACAATTAAATAATATTGGTTTATATAATAAAATGATAAAAACAATTTTTTATTTTTTCTTAAATGCTTTTATTGTAGTATAACTTGTATTAATAAAAGAAATGAACAATATTAAAATAAGTATTATACTAATCATTTAGATAAAAAAATTATCTATGTAATTTAAAAATTATAATTTATTAATTTTCAATTTAACTAATTTTATTTTTACTAAATAAAAAAATATATTTATCCATCATGTGAAACATGTTTATTCAAATAAAAAAAATCATTTACTTGATTATATTACTTGAAAGAACAAAAAAAAATTTAGCAAAAAAATATGGTAATTAGGAAAAATAGGAAAAATAATTATTATTAAAAATAAGAATTGGAAAAAAGGTGCTGACCATATATAAGGCTGGGCAAAAAAAAAATTTAGATTCCCGTGACCCAGCCGGGTCTGTTTTACAAAAATTCAAGATTTTTTTTTTTTATATGTAGTAAAATTTTTTATCACGTGACTTTATATAATGAAATTATTAATTGTTTTATTATATAAAATTTTAATTTCAACATATTATTTTCGTGATCTTTTTGATACTTGAAACTTGGTATTTTTACCACGTTTTTTTTTACTTGAAACTGTTGTATGACACTCATCACAATAATAATAAAATCCTTCATTTAAATTGGGTCTATCAGATTCGTCGCATTCATCTTCTGGTACTTTTCCACACTGAAAACAAATTTCTTCAAATAAACCACTTGAATAATAAGAAATTTCTGTTGGATTATTACATATTAACCCATCATCAACTTTTACTTTTTTAAAAATTTCTCCTACATAATCATGTTCACTATTCTCATCACCATTAATATTTGATTCATTTTGTTCCACATTTTCCACTAAAGCTTCAAAAGAATCACCACATGTATATTGAATGGTATCAGATATCTTTCCAAAATGGATACTTCAAAGGGAGATAACTTGCTTTTGCTATATAATACACGCCATTTGTTGCATTCACAACATTCAATTACTATTCCAACATTCCTTACAAATTGAGCAGTAGGACCAAATTCTATATGAGCTCTCTTCTTTTTTTGTTGTTGATTTAATAAAGATGGTCTATATTGCTCTGTTGTAATTGTATCATATACATCCTCAAATTGTTTATAATTAGTTTTGTCAGCTATTGGAACTGGGTCGGGTAATGAATGAACTTGTGAAAAATCAAGTTCATCACTTCTTATTGGCTTACAAATATTACAATCAATTGCCCCACACTTTTTTATTTGAAAAAAATAATGACGTGACTTGCAACAGTGGTCATAAAATTCTTGTAATTTAGCCTATTAAAATAAAAATTAATTATTAATTTTTAGTAATTATTTTAATAAATAAATATTAAATAAAATCTACTTACTTTATCCTTAATATCCTTTTTTGTTCTATCATCCATATTTAATGAATCTTCAATTTCTAATAAAGATTCCCATAAATCTTTAATTTCTTCTTCTGTTGCTGATTTATAAGTTATAAATGGCTCATCTTTTAGTGATAATCGTTCAAAGATACCTTCCATTAAGTTAATTGGTGCCTGTAAACTATTTATTAATTCATTTTTCAATTGTGGTTCATCCTTTGAATATGTGCGAATTTCCTCCATAGAATTGCATTTTTTCATTAAATTTTCTAAATCATTACTCAATTTATCACGCATTAAACCAATACTTTGCATACCAAGATTCAATATTGACATTATACGTTCAACTGGATTCTTCCAAGAATGACCTGGTGGAGTTCTAACAGCAATTAACAAATCTAAATCTAACTTCAAAAATAATGCTATTAATGCTAATTGAACACGAACATAAGTAACTCGATGATCAGGTCCTCCATCAGTATAAAGTAATAAATAAGGCTTATTTTCATTTGTATTATTTAATATTTTATATAATTCTGTCATATGGCGTAATGAATCTGATGGTTGAAATATAGGATCTTTTAAACTAATATATACTTGTCCACGATAAAATGACTCTTCAATTGTAGCAGGAATTTCACATAACATTGTTACACTTGGAATGATACCACACTTTGTAAAATCATGATCTGCGACTTTAAAAGCCTTATTTTTTGATACTATTACTTGTCGCCCTCTTTCAACAGCTGCAACTGGATATCCTGGTTCACCTACTTTACATCTATGTTTATCATCCATAAAAATTAACCATGAATTCATACGTAAAAGTATTGCCATTTCCTTTTGATAACGAAACAAAGCACTAGCATAATGTAAATCTTCATGATTACAACGTAATTGCCTTGCTTGCACCATAAATTTAATTGGGAGTTTACTCGTAAATTGCATACTACTTTTATGTGTTGGATTTTTTGGCCAAAATTGTAGTCTAATCCATTGTACAGATGGAATTGGTATATTTGGAGGACAAATTTTAAGTACTTTATTTTGTAAATCACTAGTTGAAATTGCAACTGCAAGATGCTGAAATATATCATGTCTTCTATCATCAACAGCTAAAACAGATTCTTGAGCTATTCCTTCTAAATATTTGGATGAATATTCCCAAAATACATCATATTTAGGTAATCTACCTTCATTAATTTCACGAAAGTCCGTAATTAAATCAGGATCTCCTAATTCAAACATTACTTCTACACGATCATCTATATCTTGAGTTTCTGAATTAATTGAAGCTGCTGAATCTTGTAACCAAACAGAATAGATATAGCGCATTCTTGCTTTTTCTACTTTTCCAATATAAAGTTCAACTGTATCTAAAAATTCTTTTCTCATTGCTCTTGTATGATAAACTTGGAGTGTCTGTTTCAAATTATTTCTAATTGTATAATGTTTGTTAATCATATCCTGTTCATTAACATTAATACCAATACGCCAAACATAAACTGAATTTTGTATATTTCCATGATGATATGTGTATTTTCCTACTTTGAATGGGAAAGCCACCTTTAATTTTTCAACAAATCTAAATCTTTGCCTAATTAAAAATAAGAATTCATTTATTATTTATTAGAAGTTATTTATATAGTAATGTATTATTACTACCAACTTACTTTCGCAACACTGGACAAAATAGGTTAATATTAACAGGTTCCCAATATTTCAAATCCTCTAAAGTTTTCGTAAGAATACGAAACTCTTTAACTACTTCAGGTTTTCGCCATGTATTTTCATCCAAAATTTCTATATATCCGGCCTTTTCTTCATCAACTACAGGTGTTAAAGAACTTTGGTTTCTTGCAGTTATAACTCTTTGACTAATTAAGTATTCAGCATACTTTAAAAGATTATTTGCATAAAGCAGTAAAGGTTCTTTTAGCCAAGCAAATTTGGGTTTTTCCATCCATGGTAATTCAATGTAATTCATCAAAATCTTATAATGATGTTATAATTCTTCTGAATCAAATGATCTTCTTGAACTTTTGTATTTTTCAGGATGTGCTCGATCAAAAAAATTGGTAAATAAAGCTGGGATTTTAAATCTCTCATTGAATGTTTTATAAGAGCAAATATCAACGCACCAAATAGATTTTGCCAAATCAGTAACAAATTTTTTTCCAATATTATTTGCATTATCCTTTCCTATCCAACCCCCTCCATTACTTCTAATCAATTCATTTAAATCTATGCGTAATTGTTCCCAAGAATTTTTTGCCGGTAATTTAAATTCTGGAAGATAATTATGCATTGATGCAGATCTCATTAATTCGAATGCATTGATTGTATTCATAGATGGTATTTCATTAGAATCATTTAGTAATTTAAATGTTACATATTTTCCGCACTGATTTACAGTCTCCCACGCATTGCATTCCAATCCTATTTTTTCTGTTTCACCTATTTTCGTATGACTAAAATATGCTACACAATTTTTCTCCCATAGTTCCGGATTTAATTTGTCAACAACTACATCTTTAAAAAATTCTTGTATGTTCATATCTTTATTAACGGGAAGTCCTTCCCACTCAAATACTGTTTTAGAATTAAACACGACATGTACAATTATTATCGGCATATTTTTTTATGAAAAAGAGATCTACAGATCGATAAAGGTCGATTTATCAAGTTTAATTTATTTATATATTACAAAGTTACACAAAATATAATAAACATTACATATAAAAAATTTTTACATGTATAAAAAAAAAA